ATTATTTTATAATCTCGAAATTATTATGTGTACTCGAAATGAATATGTTCGTATGCTCGACATTATATTTTGTTCTCGATCAATAATTTAATTCGTGCCCTCGAAATTATTTCTTGCGTTCGAAATAATGAACAGAACATATTTCTTCATGGGTACCTGAACTTAACATATACCACTTCGAGTCAGTATTAAAACTCAAGTTAGCGATAAATCGTGTAAGTAAGTGACTTTAGCATATCGTGTAGTATTATCTCAAAATGTATCGTTCCTTTTAATACAATGTTGTATTTAACAAACGTATCAATGTTATCAGCTTTAGTTACATACTGTGTCCTACATTGGTGCATATTCTTTAATATTCTTTAACTTCTTAAGAAGTATGCATTGCCTTGCATAACCTAAACTACTATCTGGGATTTTGTTTCAGCTTTCATCAGTTTGAAAAAATAAATAAATAGATCTACTTATCAATTGTTTTAGGTGTACACTAGATGTTCCCGGTCACGTGAAACACACACACACACACACACACACACAGGGAGGCCGTTAATTGTTTTATGTTTCATTAAGAGTTAGCAAAAGTAAGAGATAAGAAAAGGAGTAATGTATTATGTGGTTTTGTAATGCGAGTACAGCTTTACATGTAAAGGTTAAAGGTGGCTGTTTTGATTAGTGGACATATACTTTATTTTGCTTGAATTTTCTTTCTTATCGTGTCGAATACGAAGGTTCAAAAGTGGACATCTGATTTTCTGCCACTATAATAGCAGAACAGCTGATTGAAAGTTTTGTTAAAATGCATTTTTTTCTACTGTTCTGTTTTTCTGCTACCAGAAAAGCAGATAAAACGTCTTGTCACGGCGGTTCAAAAGTGGCCATTGCTTTTCCGCTATAAACAGACAGCAGATTTAACGTTCCAGAACGCAACTTTATGCCACTCTATAGTACCCACCAAAAATGGACGGTTGCAAGTGCCTCCGCCTCCGTCATTACGTCATCACAGTGTATGCGCGCATCCCGTTCAATCCAATTACTCAAGCTTCACTATGATTTGTTTATATGCCATTGTATTCATCAGGTTATAGTCGTATGATGAAATTGATGTAAACATTTTAATCACAAGAAATTACGTGAGAGCCTAGCTTTGTATATATAATTTAAAAGAAAACTGCGGCTCAATACAAGAAAATCGTTTTATTTCAGTTTTGATGTAGTTAACCGAAAAATAAAATGTCCTATGTTTTCATGTCAAGACTGGATTTGGTTGTTGAGGTTTCTATGGTCTTTGCAAACGTTGTGAGTCAGAGTAGCACCGCGTCATTTCGAGACCTTGATTAATAATTGCGCTAATGGATATCGTATGAATTTTTGAAAGGAATTTAATATTGCAAAGCTTCATGTCGCTCCAAAGACGAGCCCCACCCGGAGTCATAGAAATATACTAATGTCTGCCAATTTTAGACGAAAAACGGTTGCTCGCTGCAGACTTTTTCCAAAGAATCAGTGTTATACCTCTGCTAAGGAGGTAATGTTTTCATTGGCGTGGGTTAGTTTGTTGGTCGGTCGGTTGATTTTTCTGTTATCAAGATAAACTATAGGTTACGGACGGATTTGCATGACAATTTACGGTGGTGACAATTTTGTAGGGGTAGCCCTCGATACAAGTTAAAATGCAATCGATTAATTCGTTAGTGATCCGGATCTGGGTCTGGATCATGGGCGTCGCCAGGATTTTTTTCTAGAGGGGGGCAAATTTTTTTTCTGCCAAAAAATGCTTGTATTTCTCAACACATTCTCGATTTATCAGTTTTAGAGGGGGGCAGGGACATTTTGCCCCCCCCCCCCAACTCATTAACTTTACACCACTTTGTCTTCGCGCCTCTTTTTCTTTTCTTTTTTTTTCTTCCTTTTTCTTCCTTTTTTTTTTTTTTTTGCTTTTCCGGGGAGGGGGGCAAGTGCCCCCCCTTGCCCTCCCCCCCTCGCGACGCCCATGGTCTGGATCCAGGATTGTTTCAAAGGATTCTTCATTATCTCTGAAAGTCCATTCTGGTTATCCTTAAACCCTTTCCTATCTAGACCAGGCGATATTGTATCCCTTGCAGTACGAAATACGTGTATATAACTGCGTGTGGTGCTACACGGCGATGCATCGATTTTTTTATGATCTACGATGTCGGTGAAAGCTACATTGAATAATTCATGAAGCACTTTGGCTAAAAAGAAGCTGCTTTTAGTCACTGAGGCGCTGCTAATTTGCTACCGCAAAGGCACTGTATTAGTGAGCTTTAATGTTTCATGCTATGTATTGTTTTTAGGAACACATTTTTTTCATTTTTCTACTTCTTACTTGTATGAATACTATTCAAATCCGTTTTGGGTTAATTTCATTCGGTAAAAGCACATCTTAAACATGGAAAACGTTTATTTTCCATGCTTTTCTGGCCTTTTCTTTGATGTCATTTCAGGAAGAAATTGTTAAGTTTGGAGGCCGGTTTTTTTGTATGTTTCATTAAGAGTTGGCAAAAGTGAGAGATAAGAAAAGAAGTAATGTAATGTGTGGTTTTGTAATGCGAGTACAGCTTTACATGTAAAGGTTAAAGGTGGCTGTTTTGATCAGTGGACATATACTTTATTTTGCTTGAACTTTCTTTCTTATCGTGTCCACTACGAAGGTTCAAAAGTGCATGGTGGACATCTGATTTTCTGCCACTTTAATAGCAGAACAGCTGATTGAAAGTTTTGTTAAAATGCCTTTTTTTACTGTTCTGTTTTTCTGCAACCAGAAAAGCAGATAAAACGTCTTGTCACGGCGGTTCAAAAGTGGCCATTGCTTTTCCGCTATAAACAGACAGCAGATTTAACGTTCCAGAACGCAACTTTATGCCACTCTATAGTACCCACCAAAAATGGACGGTTGCAAGTGCCTCCGCCTCCGTCATTACGTCATCACAGTGTATGCGCACATCCCGTTCAATCCAATAAGCCATTTGCGTGTTAAATTTGAATAAAATCTGGAACGCTGACTTAATACAATGCTTTGCACGTTTTAACCTAGCATTCTCCCGACCAAAGAGACTGTTACTATACCACGTGATTCGGGGCAAGCCTTATGCTAGCAACCCCCAGCTCCGGCATGGTCTGGTGTCTTTGTGCCATTCTCACCCATTGTGAACGATGCATTGGTGCTGAGCGTCTCTTACGTAACTATGCAAGAGCTTGCCCCGAATCATGTGATTAGCAACAGTGTCTTTGGTGTGGAGAATTCACAGTTAAAATGTGCCAAGCATTCTGAGCAAGTCATTGTACCAGACGTTTTTCAAATGTAAATCCCAAAGGGTATAGGTTACTCGCAAATGGCTAATTACTCACGCTTCACTATGATTTGTTTATATACCCTTGTATTCATCCGGTTATAGTCGTATAATGAAATTGATGTAAACATTTAAACACAAGAAATTACGTGAGAGCCTAGCTTTGCATATATAATTTAAAAGAAAACTGCTGCTCAATACAAGAAAATCATTTTATTTCAGTTTTGATGTAGTTAACTGAAAAATAAAATGTCCTATGTTTTCATGTCAAGACTGGATTTGGTTGTTGAGGTTTCTATGGTCTTTGCATAAAGATGCAAACGTTGTGAGTCAGAGTAGCACCGCGTCATAACGAGACCTTGATTAATAATTGCGCTAATGGATATCGTATGAATTTTTGAAAGGAATTTAATATTGCAAAGCTTCGTGTCGCTCCAAAGACGAGCCCCACCTGGAGTCATAGAAATATACTAATGTCTGTCAATTTTAGACGAAAACGGTTGCTCGCTGCAGACTATTTCCAAAGAATCAGTGTTATACCTTTGCTAAGGAGGTAATGTTTTCATCGGCGTGGGTTATTTTGTTAGTCGGTCGGTTGATTTTTCTGTTATCAAGATAAACTATAGGTTACGGACGGATTTGCATGACAATTTACGGTGGTGACAATTTTGTAGGGGTAGCCCTCGATACAAGTTAAAATGCAATCGATTTATTCGTAAGTGATCCGGATCTGGGTCTGGATCCAGGATTGTTTGAAAGGATTCTTCATCATCTCTGAAAGTCCATTCTGGTTATCCTTAAACCCTTTCCTATCTAGACCAGGCGATATTGTATCCCTTGCAGTACGAAATACGTGTATATAACTGCGTGTGGTGCTACACGGCGATGCATCGATTTTTTTTATGATGTACGATGTCGGTGAAAGCTACATTGAATAATTCATGAAGCACTTTGGCTAGAAAGAAGCTGCTTTTAGCCACTGAGGCGCTGCTAATTTGCTACCGCAAAGGCACTGTATTAGTGAGCTTTAATGTTTCATGCTATGTATTGTTTTTAGGAACACATTTTTTTCATTTTTCTACTTCTTACTTGTATGAATACTATTCAAATCCGTTTTGGGTTAATTTCATTCGGTAAAAGCACATCTTAAACATGGAAAACGTTTATTTTCCATGCTTTTCTGGCCTTTTCTTTGATGTCATTTCAGGAAGAAATTGTTAAGTTTGGGGTTTTCTGATTAAATTATGAACCCACACATTTCTTATGGAATACATCGGTGAAAAAAAAAGTTGCTCATCGAGTTACACAGCAATACATCACAAAAAAAATGACAGTTAAACATCAAAGTCCGGCAACATTTGGTGTTATGTCGAATAGCTGTAACTTGAGGTTTCTTCTCGGAATGACATCATAGTTTTGATCAGAATAATATGGAAATTCGCATTAGCATAAAAGTCTCCCAAAGGACTAAAACATTTCCTAAGGTCAAATGGTCAAATGGTCAAATAAGTCAAATGGGACCAAAAAGGTGCGTTATCAATGACAGCAATTTACATTCTATTCCAAGCATGCCCTTTAAGGTTACGTCTGATAAGTAATCTGCATAGCTGATGAGCCGTGTCCGCATGGTTCGTGTACTCAGTGATATACAATGAAACCAACGGAGTCTCGATCATTGCATCTGTGAGAATGGACGGCGCAGTAGCTTGGGCTGTGATGGTATCGGCACTGACAGGTAGGCTTTCGATTTAAACGTTTACCGAAACACGTTATACCGTCACAGAGTCAACGGCTACGTAAAATAACACCTTCAGTATTTCCTTTTTTTGGGGTAATAATTGTGTCATACGAGAACTGTTAAAATGCACCCCAAACAATATCAACCGAAAGAAATAAAAAAGTGAAAAGTTAATGTATTTTGTGTTCATGACAGCAATTTTGGATTCCTAGCAGCATGAGTTTTAGTCTGTACATTATGCTCACATATTTTTCAAACTGATCATTACTTCGATGGTCGAACCCAATAAACAAACAATTAATTACTTAAGAGCCGGGACGGAACCAAAGGGCGATCGGGCATCAGCTCGATCAACCAATTCATAAACAATGATCGGGTTTATATGCCCGATGATCGGGTTTATATGCCCGATGATCGGGTTTATATGCCCGATGATTGGGTTTATATGCCCGATCATCCTTAAGGTACTAGTCAATGCTCTAAAAACTATCAAAACCTTACTGTCCCAGTGTTGGAAGACAGTTCAAAATTAACAATAAACGAATACAGCCATCTGGAATACAATGAACTAAAATGACAAAAGTCAGAATCAAACCAGAATCTATTTAAATTGAAAAATGTGCATCGCTGACGCTTTCTGTTTCAATAAAGTCTTCCTATTTTTCCCTTTTGAAAACGGCAAACCAACCCCTATCGTTTCATTATTTCCTAACACGAATGTACACAAATGAACACATCCATTAACAGCCTGTGTCCTGTCCTGTCTTTCAAAACGGTAATTGCTTTGAAATGGAAACAAAATCATTTTTGTCTGCATTGGCACTCCACTCCATCAATGCCAACATGTAGAATAACAACATTTTCTAGTACATACGGATACTTCATTTTTCAAGTTTAAATTCACGATTAAGTTCAAAGTTTTAAGGAATGCAAACAGAGTGAAGTTGGTAAGGCGAGTGGTGAGCAGACTGAGCGCGCAAAAAAACATGTAAAATAAACCTATGAAACGGGGTATAGGAAGACAGACGTGAACACAAATCAATAGTCATCAGTAAAATCAGCTGGAATTTGAATCACCTTCCACGGCTCTGAGTGTCAACATGGAAGAAAATAAACCCGACACTTTGTGATTAGAGAAAAATAACATTTTTTATGGAGTTTTATTGTTATTTGCCAACGTCGACTTAGAAAGAGTCGACGTGGGTATAGTCCGACGGCGGCGCAACTCGACTTGGTAGGAGCCGTGCGTTCCGACGAAGCACAGTTGTGGTTTTATTCCCACCGATTATGGCAGAAATAACGCTCACGAAGAATAACAGTTATGTACAGTTGTCGAAGACGAAATGGACGAAGATGTTTACTAACGACGATGACGAAAATATATACTGTAGAACACGATGAAAACGGATGAAAACTTGATGAAACTTATGTACTAACTTTACTGAATGCAACAGTAAACAAAGATGGCGATATTTACATGCATGTGCGTTTGTTTGTGCAGCGACATGTGTCTCGACTGTCTCCCCAGTGCAACGCAGGTATGGTCAGCTAAACGCAAAAAGTTGTTTTAATTACGTGTCGCTACATTTGTTTACAAATTCAAACTTACGTTTCCAGCAACATCATTGCTCTTAATCAGATGTTGAAACACGTAACTCAGCGAGTAGCCCCCTCGTCCCTGTTCATGTTTTTGGTTTTCCTAATCCGAAATAGCCATTTTTTTCGGCCTTGTAAATCCTACATTTTCATTGTCCAAGTCTTTGTCCAAGACTTTGCTTTTAAGAGTTAGTTATAAAATAAACGATCTAGATGATAGTAAACAAAAACCACTTGACCAGCAACAAAGGTGAACAATCTTATAAATCAGATTGAATGATTTAATTCAATGATTTATTCTATGCATGAACAAGTTAAAGCAAAAGATGTGATCACTTGTATTTATTAATATAGTAAACGTTTAGTTTTTAAGAATTATACAACAACGAAAATGACACCTTAACCTGTAATTCAAATTTATTTATTTGGTTTTAAATGACCAAGAAAGACATAAATTACATTAGTTAGAAAACCTTAATCGTACTATGCTGGTATTGTTTTGCCGAGAACAGTGCCTTAAATATGCATAATGTAATGGACCAATTACAGTTTGGGAAGCTCGCTCCATTTGTGGGTAAATGGCTACCAGCCTTGCCTTATACCACTGTTGTAATGTAACAATTCATAACGCTTTCGGTTGATGTTGATCACAACAATAAGGATATAACTGAGCAGGTTTTCTTTACTTTTCTAAGCTAGCTATTATTTTTTGTCTGTACATTTATATAAAATACACAGTGATAGTGTCGTGCCACAAAGTCTGTTTCATCGGATCGGAGTACAACCCACAATCTGGAATCCCACCCCGTTGGTTCTTACCGTACAAAGATCCGTGCGAATGCACCGCTATACGTCTCGGTGGGACGCGCATATCTGCTTCGTCGTACCGCAAGTGGGCGCCCTTCTACCTGGACGAGCTTTTCCTGAGCGAGGATTCTTACGAAATCCAAACCTACTTCAGCTGCAGTCGCGCGACAAAAGTTCCCATAGGTAGGCCAAAAACGTATAGCCGTTTTTTTTTATAGCTTTAAGCTTACTGTTACTAAACATGTAATGCTAACTCTTTTTAACAAAAGAAAATTGTCTTTCCAATCAGTGAGAGAGTTGTCTTCAGAAATAATCGCGTGATCTTTAGTATTCATCACATCAAATCTTAACCGATTTAAGAAACGTTTTCCTGAATGTAAACGCCAAAAAAAAAAAAAAAAAAAAAAAAATATATATATATATATATATATAATAATAATACATTGGGGGATGTCATAGAAGTGGGATATACCATTTGCATGAAACCAAATACAGTTTTATTCTTTTTCCCCTTGTAAATGTTGATTAAGGTTATTGGCATTAAGTTGCAGAAAACATGGGTCACGTGATGTCATCATAGATGTGCAAATTTTTAAAATCCTATATCTACAAAACTGTAAGTCCGATCAGAATGAATCTCGGTATGAAGGTAGACTGGGATGTGTAAGTAAACATTGAGGTGAGACGTCATCGTGTGTTTTTATGGTTTTTTTTTTCGATTTTTTTTGAAATTTTAAGTCATGACATCTCACGAACGCAGCAAGCTAAATTGAAAATTATCTTTGTAATTGGGTTGTTTGGTAATAGGTTTATGCACTACATTTTTTTTTAAATGTGTGGCGTCACCATGACGTCATAAAAATGCGAATTTGAAAACACATATAAGGGAAAATCTGATCGTCATGAAACTTGGTGGACAGCTAGATAATGGTATTAGTATGCAAAATCTTTAATCACGTCACCATGACGTTATCGATTGATTTTTAAGGATTTTTTTTTTTAATATTTCATTCCGCTTCCAAAATTCCGCACTTCCTTTTATCAGATTCAGTTCAAACCTGGCAAAATCAGATTTGTTCAAATAAATAATACTCAGATGATTAGTTTAATTTCAAGGCTAAACATTTTGCATTGAATTCAATTTGGTTTATCGACGAAGCGAATTCGTTACGGCAACAGGGAACGTCATATATTGAAACTTCAATACTAAGTTCATAATTAAGCAAACTTTTACATAAATTGCACTTTGAACTTGGTGAGTATAATAAATTGTACTCTAAAAAATAAATTTACATGTACATTTACATAAACTCAAAAGCGTAAAGATATTTAATGCGGAAAAGCCCTTTGCTCTGTTTCAAACAAACATAGACCTCTAGCTTTTTATTTTTTGTTTTGTTACCAGTAGTTGAGTGTTCAAGCCCAGAGCCCCTCGGTCTTGAAGACGGTACCATCACTGATGACCGCATGACAGCGTCAGATCATAACCAAAACTGGCCTGCCAGTAAGGGACGGCTGAACTATAACGGTGGATGGGCAGCAAGAAGGTAATACATGAGGAATATTACACGTGGTACCGTATTATTTTGTATGAACTCTATACGCATGAAGAAATAACATGACATCACAACTTCACTTGCGGAATTGATTCAGAATGCTGTCCAGAATGAGTTTAAAGCTACAGTCCATCATTTGTAATTTGTGCATTTTGTTCGTTTGAAGCAACGAAAGAGTTCAAAATCTAATGAAGGATACTGAGCAACTAACCTGATGAAGTTTCAGCTAAGCTTCAGCTGTACATTCCGAGAAAAACAGCATTCTAAGATCTCAATTTCAAATCAAAAGTTACTGTATCATGTTTTGAATTTTTTTGAATTGCAGCTATACGCGACGTCGCGCACTGATCCGACGAATTATAACAACCGCTTGCGCGTGTGCGTCGTTCCAATACTTGTGCGCGCTGCTCTGAATAACAAAACGAACTACTAATTTAAATTTTCCTACGGTGCTTCTTAAGAATCACCGTTGGAAATGTCTTCTTTCGTTGATTACTTCAAAATGACAGCTTCACAGAAAGAATAATTTCACAGGGAGTTTAGTTCCCTTAGCATCAACCAAGTTTGTTTTTCAACAATAATTACGCCAGTTACTTTTCGGATGGCTGCAAATGATGGACTCTAGCTTTAAATGATCGAGCTCAGCTCTGTCAATTCATCTCAGGATCGGGTTTGTTCGTAGTACCGATATTTTTTTCCCCCTTTTCATCTCTACACAGCCTTATCGATCCATGGATAGAGGTGGATCTCATCGAGGCTTCATTGATAGCTGGCGTCATCACACAAGGCGACGGTGATTGGTATGTGACGCAGTACAAGGTGGCTTACAAGAACCAGCCTTCATCACACTTTGAACACGTTACAGATGGAAGCGGAAACATCACGGTGAATACATTACAATGATCCCATGTTTGTATTTGCTGAATACTTAACTAACATATATAAATTTACCAATCTTTTATACTTTTCCCAAATTTTCTGTTTTCATGGACTTTCTTATTTCAGGACTCCTTTAAACAAAACGATCATCAAAACGAAATTAACTGAAACAAAGCGAAATGTTTTCGGAAAGGACAGGTTGTGATAGGTGTCATGCTTAAATTGAAAGTTTAAAAGTGTATTTTTTTTCTAGCAATGCGACACATTATTTTTTTTGAATGAGTTTGGCTTGCAGACACAAAACAACCTTTTTATATTAAAATAAACCTCATATTGTTAACTTTGCTTAGAGACTAAAATCGAATGTCATTAAGAGCAAGGACTGTTAAAAAAATAACAAAAGAAACATTTAAAATGCCTATTGTGAAAATGTATTTATTCAAATTCTATTGATGCTGTGTACGGGCATTGTTTCCAAATATTTGATGGAACTCTGCATCGTCGCTTGATATTTGAATGAAAATTATGAGATAATCTGTAGGAACTGTTTGTTTTCATTACAGATTTTCATCGGTAATACTGATGGCAACACTCCGGTCACTAACCTGTTTTATGAGAGTGCGGTGGCCACTGTAATGCGTATTGAGCCAACTAAATGGAGTACCGGTGTGGGACTGCGATTGGAATTACTTGGATGTAACCGAGATTAAAGACGTAGTCCGTCGTTTGTAATTTGTGCATTCTGTTTGTTTGAAGCAACAAAAGTGTTCACAATCTAATGAAGGTACTGAACAACTAACCTGATGAAGTTTCAGCTCAGTTTCAGCTGTATATTCCGAAAAAACAGCATTCTAGGATCTCATTTTCAAATCAAAAGTTGCTAAATCATGTTTTGAATTGTTTTGAATTGCAGCTTTACGCAACGTGGCGCACTGATCGGACGAATTATTTTAACCGCGCGCGCTTGTGCGTCGTGCCAATGCTTGCGCGCACTGCGCCGAATAAAAACGAACTACTAATTTAAAATGTTTTACGGTGTGTCTTAAGACGCACCGTTGGAAATGCCTTCTTTCGTCGATTTCTTCCAAATGAGAGCTTGCCAGAAAGAATGATTTCACAGGGAGGTTAGTCCCCTTTTTATTTTTCAACCAGTATGTTTTTCAACAATAATTACGCCAGTTACTTTCTTGGATAGCTGCAAATGATGGACACCGGCTTTAAATTTACAGTCCATCTTTCGCTGATATCCCAAAAGTTACTTACGTTATTATTGTTGAAAAACGTACTCGTTTGAAAGCCAGTAAGAAGATTGAAAACTCCCGTGAAATTGTTCTTTCTGGCAAGTTGTTATTTTGAAGAAATCAACGAAAGAAAGCGTTTCCAAGACGCACCGTTGTAATTTATTTTAGTAGTTCGGGTTTTTTTTTTATTCAGCGATGCGCGTGCAACCGATGAAACGAAATACGCGCGCGGTTGCTTTAACTCGTTGGATCATGAATTTGATTCTCATTGCATGTTACGAAAACTGAAAGTTACCACTAGACAAGGCGCGATTATTTTTTATTTAAGGACGAAATAGCAGATAATCATTCGGAGGTTACCAGATAAAATTTGATGAATTCCATACAGGGGAATATAGATATTCTTATTAATTTCATGAAAGTCTAAAAAAAAAAAAAAAAACATTGGCCTGATGGCTCACGAATTGATTTTGCTATCCAGCGGCACTCACTGTAAAATATGTAATATTAAATGATATTTACAAACTGCATGGTTGTGATTGAGAGTAGCTTTGAAAAAAAATACCAGAGTCGCGAAATAAAATGTAATTATGTTGATGGCTCAATGCCCTTTTATGTTTTAGGTTATTTTCTTTGTCCGCATTGTGGCGCATACATGCATATTTGTAGCTTCAAGTGGCACTTGCAGTGTTATTCGTTTATTTTTGAATGAGCAACTTATAGAATTTTAATAATGAATATTTTCGGTGTATTTAAAATAAGAAGAAAACAACATGATGCCATACAGCACAGTGGAGACTTGTGACAACTTTGGTAATTAACCGCACACGTTTCGGATTAACTAATGAAACAGATTTACGAAAGGACTGAAATATACACAGTACCAAGTGAAACTATATCGCCTTAAAGTGTATTGTTTCAAACACAATCGAAGATGTTACAAGTGTTTCAACAGGCACACTGTGAAAATCCACTTTGATAAAATCCGTTCCGATCAAATCCACTTCGATCTTGATGTCATGTATACTAGCCATTGGAAAGTAAATCATGTCCCGAGTGATTATATCTTTAAGATCAGAATTACCCCATTGGAAATGGAAACGTATTAGATCTAAGTGTAGCGAGGTGTTCTATAATCTCAAAATGCATAGTTTCTATCTAGGTGAAACTTCAACACTCAAGTCGATTGTTACACACCCTATTTTAATGTGTTTTAATGTGCAGTTTTATTGGATTTAATAAACAAAAAAGCAAATTGTGTAATGACCTTTAAAACTTAAATTATTTATTCTTCTCTCATTTCAAATTGTATGATAGGTGTATAAGAGGTATTTGATGTTTGTGTTGTATAAAGCATTGATAATTGCTCTTGTTGGATAAAAAAATAAAATGCGGCAATTTGTTGCGTAAAATGTGTATAGTTTTATTGGTAGCATATAAAGGTGACTCTGTGCGGTTTCTGAATACTCTCACTATTATAGGTAAATAAACAGTGAGTTGCTTTAAATTTTGCCAGTATTCCAACCTTATCATCCTTTTTGAGCAGGAACTCCAGCTTCGTCATGTCGAGTAAACTGTTTTGTTAGAATTTTCGTTTTGTGTAATTCAGTAGTACCTATAGAGCAGACGATTAACTGTACATGTACATATATTATTGTTATTTAATTGTTGATTGTATCTTTGAATAAAACAGAAAAACTGCAATATAAAAAAATGAATCTGTGCTGATCAGAAGAAACCCTTCACGTTTTTCTTACCTATGTAACATATCTTATGTTATTTCAGTAGCATATTCATCGAAATGAGATATGTTTTGTTATTGCGAGAAATGCATGTCATATAGCCGCATAAAATACAAATTCAACTTGACATAACGTGACTCTTTAATCGTTCATTTTCATATACGGAACACAAGGCTCCTCTATCGAAACGCAAGCACTATTATGACTATTTTAGACAATTAATTACTTGTTAGATTCTACTTGTGTCGGGCACGATGACATACACGCCACACGTCCTGTCCCATCATCAGTGTCTCAAGTTCATCTGCGATCGCGGCGCCACTGTCCTCCATTAGGGTCTTCACCTGGTTTTGTTAGGGCACCCACGATTCATCCTCCAATGGGCTGGTTCCCAGATGATGACTTTGCTAGCGGGCAGATTATGGTTGTTCCAGCGCAAAATAAAGGCGCCCTCTGTCGTTCTAATCGCGCCAGTCGAAAATCGCTGTTCAATGACGTCATTGACATTCTCTTTGGGCGACACGGCAACTGACTGCTCGTGACTGTAATGAAGGTGTGTCGCTGCAGATTTTTCCAAGGATCTGTTAGATTCTTTTGACATTAATAGACATTTCTAAATTGGTACTTAGCCTTGATTGCTGCTAGAAATAATGGGCGTATCAGCGGATGTAAATTCATTTTGCACGCGGTGCTGCGCCGTTGCACATCGATTTCTGACTAGCCTGAATGTCGGGTTCTGAGTATCACCCATTATCTACGGAGCCATGTCTCCGATATAGCGTCGTATATGTCAAACAGCCTCAAACACGTGTACCTGCCTAACCGTGCGATACGGCCACGCTTCCCCATAACCAAATTAAATGACGCCATCACGTTTCATAGGTCAGTGTACAAAAACACCTTGTGCGAACTTTCTTTATACGAATATGCGGTGCGGTGTGGGTGTACGTGTAGATGTTTGTGGTATCAATAATCCATGCTTTCTTTAAAAAAATATTTTACGAATGTAAATTTATTAATTTTATGTACATATTATGCGTATTAAATTGATCCCTGCTTTTCTTTTCAATCATTGTTTTAATTTTAAAATAGTTAAACAGTTTTTAAAAGGGCCGGAAGAACTAATTACTTAACAATTCAATTCCGTATTCACGTTCATGCATTTATGGGGGTGTGTCTAAACGATCTCAAGATGTAATTTAGATCATATGGAAAATTGGAAATCTATTTTCTTTATGATGTTCATTTATGAAAACAGACCGTCACTAAAATGATTTTGAAAGTATTGTATACTGAGTGCGGATCCCAGGTGCGTAAGCAGCGCTACTTGCGACCGCGCTTGCATGCTACTTGCACTGGAGATATGAAGACACCATCAAATGAACGTCGTTCATCCTCCAATCACTAAATGGCAACAAGGCTACGACTATTGCGCAGTATCAAATTCGTTGAGCGCGAAACTGCCGATCCGAAGGAAATCGACAAATTAATACAAATCAAATGGAATTGGTCATGGTGCGACCAAATTTTACTGGCGCATTCAGAAGTTGAACGCGTGGTCGGCAACTGCTTCCGTAAGGTTTTTATTCCCGGCCGGAGAAGCATTGTATGAGTGTGTTGTATTCCCATCAAGTACGGCAGTTGTGGAGCTAAAGGCATCGGTACAACAAGCAATTCAGTACGCATCACAATGTACATGTGGCTGCTTTTGCTGTTGTATTCATTGAAAATACATGTATGAAATTGATCGCCCAAAACTGCCTTCCACAGGTTTCAAATATGCAAAAACCCAGGTGCTTCGTCCTCTTAACCCCTATCGGGGGCGCTGCCCCTGGACCCAAGAAGGGGGCCTAAGGCTGGCCCTTGACCCCCAGCCGTTGGACGCTCCGTTCGCTTCGCTCTCTACGCTTTGTTTTGTTTGGTTACAAAATATTTTGCTGTTTTTTTATCAACACCCATTCTCGTTCCTGCATGTCATGAAGGCCTATGGCAAGATTTTATCACTTTTGATGGACAGTCTCGACAACTTTCATGGCGCGAATGAAGTCCTGGATTCGCCCCTGTTCATATGATTAATTGTACGCAGTGATGGCCGGGTGTTAAACGCGGTAATATCTCGTCAACGCTTCACTTGGTTTCTGTGGTTATTACGGTAACAGGCAGGCGTTTCACGTACGGTGTGGCCACGTATTGTATCGATTATTAACAAAGAAGAGGAGTGTGCCAATTTGCGAGGCATTTTTGATCCACTTCACATTATTTCCAGGCCACTTAGTACTTAGCGTGTATATTACCTGCATTTTTAATATTTGCAGCGTTATTGAATGGGACTGGCTTGAATTTTTCAAAGCTTTTATTGTTCACTTTGTCGGCGGTTTTATCATTGAGCCACAGTGAACGAGCGACTGCACGCAGTGCCGCATCGTTGGGATTCGTTCAAGGTTGTCGTTTAATTAGGAACACCGTTAGTTAGGTCGCAAGCCAGTTTATCATGAAGAGAAAACCCTTGCGGCATTATTGTATGAATTTTGTTGGAAAAAAAATGGACTCGAGGCTAAATAAATGAATTAAAGCAACGATCCTGGCAATACCAAGGACCAGTTGCGTGTGCATTAATTGCAGTTTCAGATCAATTTCATATTGATCATTTAGATTTATGATACGTGTATGAGAACGTTAGAGCCTTTCAATGCAAATTTCTCGAAAAGCGATATTTTGCATCCAGGGGCGGATCCAAGATTTTTTGCAGGGGGGGGGTCATGCCCGTCAAATTTGTGTTTGTCCGATTGTTGCGGACAAGCAGAATGTCATCGGTTTCTTTATCATAACTATAATTGTAAAACAAATCAAAATAATATGTCAAAGCGGGGGGGGGGGGTTACGACACCCCCACATTCACCCCCTCTGGATCCGCACTTAGTGTCAGAGCACTCATATGCCCTTCTGTCGGGCACCCGACGTTTTGTATAAAGAGGCCATTTTGATTGGTATATTGTAGGTTTCTGTGATTAATTATTAGACATACAGAAAAGGGCAACTTAAATGCGGCAACGTACCGTATCATGTACCGATTCCCGAGTAGAGATACGACAACCATATTTGCTTTTCCAATTTGTTAGAGGCTGATGTTTCTCAAAGAATCGTAGTGATGAACTGGCGCGGCATGGCACTCAATTGTGACATGTTTAATGTGTCTACTGTGCTGGACTTTACAATTTGGGTTGAAAATGCACGTTCATAAACGTAATACACATCAAAAAAATATAATAACCAAGTAATACATTATTATTACTTGTAATTGTGGTATTGATTAATCCCATTTCTCGAGGGATCAAAAGCTTATTCCTGGTATTCGTTTGGTATTCCATCATATCATTTTCTTATTCGGAAAACAATAATTTGGCATATTACTGTTTCTAATTTATTATACTTATACCACTGATTTTAATATTCTGATGAACATTTCACTAAAAAGACATAGGCCTAAGCATACACTGACCAACATCAATAGCTTCCCACTATAATAATCGATTCTTCCACAGCAATACAGGTGTGTTATCAGTGACCCTCTCTCTATGGAAACATAACGCACATGCGATTTGCTTGGTGCGTACATATTATCCGTACAAAGTCATATTAGTCAAGTCGTTAGACACTTCTGGGCTAGGCCAGCAAATGATAAACACGATACTTAACGCCATGCTAGTAGTAATGGGGCCGCCGACAAACACAACACGACTGCCTAGCGACTTAATGGTCCTCAAGTCTAATGTGAATGCTGATGAATTTATCAAGGGCACAGTCTCGTAATTGCAGTAAAGGTGTGTCGCTGCAGATCGTTTTCCAAGGATCCGTATGATTCGTTTTACAATAATAGACATTTCAAAATTGGGACTGAGCCTTGATTGCTGCTAGAAATTATAGGCAGTCTACCGTTGCCGCGCTGTTTCACATCGATTTCCGACTAGCTTACTGACAACTGCGGAGGACTGCATTTCGTGGAGAAATTTCATTCAACCAAACACTTTCATAACAACAGAGTTGAATGCCATGTTCCTAGCTACTTCTGGTATTAAGCTCCACACATGCTGAGAGCTTGAATCAATCTGAAAAATGTAAATTCCTATTCCACGGTGGAGTTCAAGCAAACTTTGGATAGACTGCATTCACTATAGGACACCATTTTCGATCGTGTTCCCCGAATCAGTTTTACAATTACAAATTCAAACTATTGAATGCGACTATAATGTGACTATTCTATAATTGAAGTGTGTGTCAAGCCTCAACTTATTTTTTTTTTAATATTGCCTACAACATTTTTAATTAGCAATGAATATTCATTGTTTTTCAATTTTTCTACTAGCAAATTTCAAAAATGAAGTGTTTACCTCGCTTTCAATTTAAAATGGCCGACTCGTGAATAAAGGATTTTGGTTGGCTATGACGTTAGCCTGTTCGAGTGTGTGCGGCTGCGTAGCTTCGGTGGGGACCTACTGTGTTGTGTAACTACCGCAATACAGGATCAACGTAACGGATCTCGGTCATTGCATAGTTCCCACAGTTTCGGGTCTTGTTCTAAATACAATGATTACCTGCCTGTGAGGTTGGTCTAGTCCACGTTTGTAGCTGTTGATTGTACATGGCTAGTGCCGAATTGTGGGTGTGTGACTGACTAAAGGGATTCTGACATTACAAAAGCTCACTTAATCTGGCAGAATGGACGGAGCAGCGGTTTTGGTTCTGATGCTGTCAGCAATAACAGGTAAGCAAATTTTTTTCCAAACTTTCTGAATCCCTATCGTGTGTAGTTTAATTGAACTGTAGCTTAACAAGTCGCTGCACGTATCCTTCACAATCAGTTTCCTCCTGTACATCTTTTGGTACAGGATGCTTTTGGGCTCTGGAATAACGTGGGGAAATCCACCACGACTACAATTCTGGCCTTGTGTTTGTGTGAGTGATGAACATTTAGAACTAGGGCAGTTTCACAATACAGTTATTAAATCAATCAATTATCGTAGTAATCAATTCAATTTCCCGACTCAGAGTTTCGTTGCTGCGCCTAAGAATTTTAAACAGCATATGTTTGCACTCTAGTAGAAAATGTGTGATATTGATTGAAAAATACTTAAATCTAGAGGGGAGCTGCTGTGAAAGTATTCGCCAATACTCATTTACAAAACTTAAACGCGTTGTTGGTATAAACAAACACGAACCTAAATGAAACAAAACGAAAGATAAATGCACACCGAAGGTGACGTCACATAGCGCGATGTCGTCGTTTCGTTTCGTTTATTTTTTTGTTTTGTTTAGGGGTCGGCATTTGTTTTGACCCCCCTCACCGTTCATGTTTGAAAACATTATGAAATACCTTAGGCTTGACTGTAAAGTGAACAATAATCTCAAGCATCCCTTGAAATCATGACACCTGGTGTGCTGTCATTTCCAAAAAAAGAGGATTTCTTTGAATCGATTTCCAACGATATGTCGGCACAGCATCGTTAGAAAACCCTGATTTTTTTTCGAATACTGCCCCGACCTCTATAAATTGCTCCTTTTTTTTTTATTGAAATAGGGTAAAGGAACCAGACATCACGAACAGCAATACTTTTCTATGAATACAAAACTTTAAGCAGGTCTTTGAATATAAATATTTGCTATAAAATACTAACCAGTTCATTTCTGAAAATTTCACCAAAACAAAATATTGTATATTCCGTTTAAAATTTCCGCTGGCTTTTGACCATTACTATTTTCTTAAATTGGAATGGAATTAAAATCATCCGTTATGAGGTCATCTGCGAAGTTTTATTTTAATACCGGAAATGGTTTTGTTGTTATGTTCATAAAGCATGTTAACCAACGTGGATTTTCCCAAGGTCCTTTTAGGGTCATTCATGTGTAAAATATTATTAAAGTATCGCAAACATTATAATATTTGTAATTGGTGAATAGCGAGATATATCCTCTGAAAAGCTGTATGTCCACTGGAAAGTGGATTTAGTTTTAAGAAAAATACACAAAAAGTGTGGATTCGTGATTCACGAGTCGTGTAGCGCTGAGTGAATTTGTAAATTAAGAATCCACACTTGCGAGTGTATTCGCTGACTTAAAGGGGCACTAGGTCCTGAAATCCCTGAAAATGTCATGTTTTGAATTGATTGGTTATCCTATTTATCTGGTTGAAAGGAAACCAACATAATCTCTTACCGTTCCCGAAAAAAAGACGGAAAAAACTGGTTGTCTACATCGTACACGACGGAGTACCAATACGTTTATCCTGTCTTTTTCAGTGTGCGATACACAATGTGTGTGTCTTCACACTTATACAGCACCGTGCTCGCGCACAGCCATGTGGTTGCAAAGGGCGATTTCTAAAGGTTACGTTACACATGTTCACACAGACGGGGGAAATCTTTGAAAAGTAATTTTTCCCGTTTGGAAGACCATACCTTCATGCAACTTTCGGGGTTTATTCGCCTTATAATGATCCAATTATGTGCTGAAAATCGTTGTGATATGTTCATTACTTTTCGTTGAAATTGGAAAAATAGGCCTGGCTACGTACATTTTTAGTTGTAACACGTCAGGTGACGCTTATGAATATGCCAATATACCCGTCGTTGTAGTGCTGCAGGGCCGAAATTGGTCAACCGTAGCGCCTACACGGCGCTATGAAATCCATGCAAGTGGGTTGTGTTGGAAAAAAATCCTCGTCGAGATTTTCTTTAGAGATAGTTCGAGCTGTAACACAAGCATTAGCAACAAGAGATTAAGCTGAAATTAGGAATATACTTAGATGATAGAAATGTTCAACTACTCGTGAAATAACAACTTTCGTAAATTCCTAGAAATTAATATAAAAACGTAGATTTGGGGACGTTTTCGAAAGATTTCTTCCAGACTTGAAGGTCTGCTTTACCAGTAACCAGTATTGAGGTTTCGGCATCGATGACAAGGATTTTTTCACTGACATGAAATTTAGAATTTCTTCTTCCGTTATAATTTAACATTTCAATCATACTGAGCACATTTTCTGAGAAACACAACGTTGAAAAGCCCATTTTTTTTTGGGGGGGTCACAAATTTCAGTGTTCTGTCACAGCGTCTTAGTAAGTAATCGGATTAGCTTTGCTTGACAACCAGCCACGCTTCGCCTTCGACTTCCGGGGGTCGCAAAACTGAAACTATGTTTTGTTAGAGAAGATAAACTTTAACCCATAAGGATAATTCGTCGCATATCTGACGAAGTGACGAATCGGTCATTTTGGAGTTTTTTTTATTAATTGAGTTTTATGGTTAAAAATATTCGAATTTTCAGATTTTTAGGTTTTTAATTCATGAAAACACTTCATTTTTGTTGTTCCGAAACCCACTAAGTGACGAATCGGCACATATCGGAAAAAAATTGTCTTGCGAACTGACGAATAAATTATTCGACGCTTGGTCATATCAGAACAGCGCGCATCCAGTATCTGACGAAGTGACGAATAACCAGTTATTCATTGGTTACGCACACACCCGTCTTAATAATTGAATGGCGTATGAGGGAACCAGGGATCTTCTGTTTCGCGCGCTTTCCGTCAGCTTTCAAAACAAACTAACGGCGCTGCAACATTATAATGATGACTAAAAAGAGATAACCGTTACTACTTCACCTTTATGTAATTTTGTGTATGTAGAGTTGTAATCCTAAAATGAACGGAGTACAAAATGTACTAGGCTAGGACTGCGCGACGGACAGGCTTATACAGACTGGGATTCATTTAAAACGTGCGATATACTTTCCTTCAAAACCTGCGTTTTATAGGAATTCCACAAAAGGTCTACAGCATTTCAAGAAAATCTCGAAAACGGTCCCCTTTAAGTGGCTAATATGAGCTGAAAACCTCATTTTAATCAGCCCATACTGAAATAAAGTGCCTCCTAGGGGATAAAAATTAGGATATTTTTTTTTAAACGTGCGGTCCACTTTCTTTCATAAACGGCGTTTCATAGGAAAGCATTATTACTGCATTTCGACGGAGTCCATTTAAGCGGCTACTTAAAGCAAAATACATTATTGGAATAAACCAATGCTGAAATGAAGTGCACCCTAGAAGGTGAAAATAGGATTATTAAATAAAAATAGTATTTATTCAAAACATATGCGGTACACTTTCTTTAAAAACTGCGTTCAATGGGAGACCCGAAATACTGCATTTCGAGATATTCTCGAAAATGGAACCCCTTTAAGTGACTAATTTGAGCATAAGACCTCATGGGAAAAAGCCCACAATGAAAATAAAGAGTGCCCAGGAAGTGATACTTGGGATGATGACATAAAACTATGTTTTATTTGTAGATTTTCTTTCAAAGACGGCATTTTTAAGGAAACCCAAAACACTGCATTTCGAGATATTCTCGAAAACGGAGCCTCTTTAAGTGGCTAATTAGAGCAGAAAAACCTCATTGGAATGAGCCTATACTGAAATAACGTGTGTCTAGCTGGTGAGTGATGATTAGGATAATGAAGACGACGTTTTATAGGATACCCAAAATTCATTTCGAGATACAGGTTTTGTATTCTCGAAAACGGAGCCCTTTAGGCGGCTAATGAAAGCAGAATGCCTAAGGATAACAAGCCGTTAATGAGATTATTGTACCCTAGAAGACAATAATTATGGGATTTTGTGACAAACCTGATTGTTTTTTAAACAATTGCTGTCTTATATGAATGAATGAATGAATAAATAGTGTTGTTCGTTGTTAGTTTGCATTCACAGCTTTGTGTTCCTACTATTTTGTTGCGTCCATTCGAGATATTTTCCTTTTTAATAACTTTTTTATTAGGCAACTGTATATTATTAAAACATTATAGCAAGTACTTGGATTCGAACGTGGGGTTTAAGTGTTACCATATTTTTTCCTTAAAAGAAAATAGAAAATGTTTGTAAAACATACACATTTCTTTGAAAATGCGCGTAGTGTTGTAAAGAAGTGACGAATATGCAATGGATTTGTGATGCAAAAACGCGCGCACAGTCAAAATGTTATCTTACAAAGTGACGAATAAGATATTTTTACGTGGCGAATAAGCACAATGACGTTTAAATTTATCTCGCGAAGTGACGAATAAGTTTCACAGCAAAAATTAGACAAACCTTTAGTCTTACGAGTAAAAAACAAATGAATAGATATATTTCAACAATCAAATAACTACCTTGAATAAATTAAGAATGTACAAAAGGGGAAAGTAGCATCGAAAAGGGACACGTAAAATGTGTTCAACTTTAAACGCGTTTTTCTCAGAATTGCGTTTACGCGTAATCGCGCGTATTCGTCGGTTCGTCAGATATGCGACGAATTGTCCGTGGTCAAACATGCAGTCAGATGTTTAAGGGGAATATACAACATTTGCAAACATAATAAACCTACCCAAACATTACGAAATATCTTTCTTGACTGTTTGTGAATGACCGACTAAATCATCTTGTAAAATCATGGCACCTGGTCCGCCTGTCATTTTCAAGAACACAGGTTCAACAAGAGGGAAACAACAACAACAGCACACGGCCGATTCAATCCCATAGACATAACGTAATAAACTTGAGGAATTTTGTCCGTACTCCAGTGCATTAAAGTGATGACGTCATGCAATTTTGGAAATCCAAGATGGCGTCCTAAATTTTTACGAAAACAAAACACGAAAAACATGCCCCAAACTTGCCCCTAAATCATGACTTACACAATGACTTATGGTGCCATACAGTAATTCTGACA